ATAATAATAATAATAATAATAATAATAATAATAATAATAATAATAATGGCAAAGGTATCCAGATTTGCCTATCCTAGGTCCTTGGGAAGGACTCGGTAGGTAGACAAAAGTGCCAAACCCAGTCTGGACATCTGGCTTACTGTGATGATGATGAGGATGAGGATGAGGATGATGAGGATGAGGATGATAATGATAGTAATAATAATGTTGCTAAACTTTCTAAGCCCCATAGTGATTTTTTCTAGGACTAATAAGACCCCCCAAACACCGAACGTTGAGTTTTTGCTGGCAATATTAGAAGCAAATTTTATGTCGGATGGGAGGTACCCTCAGAGAATTGCGTAGATACAGCTAGTCTTGGACTGACAGTGGGAAGTGTTGTTAAGTGAATCCCTGCAGCTGTAAAGTTAGTAACATGGTGGTTAAGTGAATCTGGCTTCACTGTTGACTTTGCATGTCAGAAGGTCACAAAAGGGGAAATCACCTGAAACCCCCCCTCACCCCCCCGGACACTCATAAATATGAGCCAGTTGCCAAGCATCCAAATTTTGATCATGTAATCACAGGGATGCTGCCATCATGTGATCACAGAAGTGGTGTGGCCGTACGAAGTACGAGTACAGATTGAAAGTTGCTTTTTCTGAGGCTGTTGTAACATTGAGCTGTCGTTAAATGAATGGTCCTAAGTCAAGGACTAACTGTGTCACTTTTGGGAGTCCTTCAAAGAACCAGGAAACTCTCTGGGATCATTATTAGGCATTATGACATTCTGAGCTGATCAGAGGTTCTTCTTTATTGTTGCCTAATTTTACAAGAATCACGCCAGGATTCTTGGGAATATCCAATTTCTCCAAAAAATAAGTCCCAACTGGAAAATAAGCCCTAGCATGATTTTTCAGGGTGCTTGTAATATATGCCCTATCCCCAAAATAAGCCCTGGTTAAGATCGTCACCCAAACGGATGCATTTCAGTACCGTATTTTCCCCATAAGCCCTAATGCATCTTTTGGAGCAAAAAAAATAAAAAAATAAATAAAACAAGACCCAGTCTTATTTTTCAGGGAAACACGGGTAGTTAGATAAAAGTTTGAAGAATTCTCTGGGGAATCTGGACTCCATTGCTTCTATCACTGCAAGGACTTCACGCTTTCCTTTTCAGTCCTTCCCTCATTCTAGATGGAGATTCTACCACAGGCAGAGGCTGCACAGGTGCAGCTCAGTCCAAGCCATGGCCGCTCCTCATGCCAGGTTCCAAGGAGAACCTCAGGTGAACCGTGCATCAGAGCTTAAGGAACAAACCAGGGCTCCCTTTGAAACTCCATAAATCCCATGTGGCACTTGGCGTGGGACAAGCAAACAGTCCCTTCTTCTCTGCCGTCATTGAATCGAACTGAAGGATGAGCCAGCCTTGCTCATCGGAAAAACGAGAGAACCGATGATTAGTGGCTTGGAAAATGGCAATGACAACCCTAAACCAATGTTTCTTTTGAGCTCCTCACTATTCCCTTCTGTTCCTAAACAGAGCTGACTCTAGGCTGCAGGACATGTCCTAAGCTAGCCTCTTCCACTTAGTGCAGTTGTCATTCCTTGTGATGAAATGAGATCAGCTCCCATGTATGCAATGCATAAGGCCAGGGGCGGGGAGGGGCAGGCTGGGGGGATCAAACAGACGTTTTCTACCAACCATTAGGCAACCAAATGCTTTGTGACACTTCAGAGAATTCAGCAGAGGTTTTTTTTTTTTTTTGCCTTGAACAGAGAGACTTCCATTCCCATAAAAAAAAAAAAATTGCTGTTTAATAGTGAACGTGTTATTACCAAAATAATTGTTAACA